TCGGACGGCCCACCCGTTTGAACTAATAAAGTGCCAGGGGCCTAAGTGGTCACCTCAATATTAAAAAAAAAATATATTTGTCTACATACATTATAAGCTGGCTCAAGGAAAGCCTCTATATTTAGTTGTTTGAACGAAGCATTCCAGAATTTTCTCACTGACTCATACAACTTTGACAAAGCTATGTCATGTTCTGTTCGCGCCAGGTCATGAAGGTCCTGTTGCATAAGATATAGCTCTATCCGACTAATAGCATCCAATGCTTCTTTATATGTGATGTGAGGCATTTCTACACTGCCATTTTCCTCATCATCTTCGGGCTGTTCAGGTTCCTGGTATGTGGCTTGGTTCAAAATTTCCTGGTCACTTATTATTCCTGTTACAAGTCTCACCTCCGAATAATTAATGTACTCCTCAAGATCTATTACATTTTGAAAATTAAGCATTTCAATATTATTATACAATTCTTTCATTAAATCATCATCATCATTATTAGTGGTGGGCCCTTCATCATTACTTTCTTCATCACTATCTTCATCTTCATCTTCAACTGGAAGAATTCCTGTGTGTCGAAAGCAATTTCAAATAGTTTCTGTTGATACTTCTCTCCACGCTCGAACGATGAATTGTATGGTAGTAAGAATATTTATTTTATCATTATCATCATTTCCAGATTCATAATGGTCAAGTAGCCATTTTATAAAGTAACTTCGATAGTGACGCTTGAAGAACATGATGATGCCAGCATCCAAAGGTTGTATGCGAGATGTTGTATAAGGTGGGAGGAATTTAATAGTTGTGTTATGAAGTTTTACATTACCAACAGAGTAAACCTTTGCACAATCCATTAGAAGAATTATCTTGCGACCAGCCATTTTCGAGTCAAATTTTTTGAGCCATTTTTGAAACAGTGCAGCTGTCATCCATGCTTTCTGACTTGCTTCATACGTGACATGAAGACTGCGACATTTAATATTTTTAAAACAACGTGGATTAGTCGACTTACCAATAACAAATAGATTTTATCTTATCTGTTTCATCAGCATTGGCACAGAATGCCAGGGTTAATCGTTCCTTATCCTTTTTTTTCCTTTAAGATGGATCGTTGCTAGTGTGGTGTCCGGTTCTAGACTAGGAAAAAAAAAAAAAGAAATTAAAATAAGGCTATGAAAAATTAATTAATTGATTTTTATAGCCCAACCAGAACAAATTTTAAAACTTAAAAAAAAATTTTTTTATTTTTAATAACCGGGTAGGTTTCTAAAAAAAATTTATAAAAATTTTATAAAATTTTTATAAAAATTCTACATGAAATTTTTTTTAAAAAAAGCCAGTTTGCCGGGTCTATTTAGAAGTTTCTTGTTACATTTTTTTTTTTTTTTTTTTTTTTTATAAAAATTTTATAAAAATTTTACATGAAATTAAAAAAAGGCCAGTTGGCCGGGTCTACTTAGAAGTCTCACGTTATGAAAACTGAGACAAAATTCGTACGGCCCAAGTATTAATTAGTAAAATTTTATTTATTTATACTGGTAAAACAATCTGGTTTCATCCATGTTATAAATATCCTTCAAGTCATATTTCTTTAAGATTTCTCTTAGCTGAGGAATAGCGACTTCAACAGCATCTTCATCCACAGAAGCATCCTCTCCATGTTTTGTTATTATTTTTAATCTGTTTCTTTTTTTGAACTTTTGTAGCCAACCATGTGAAAATTTGAAATCACCTTCAGGTATGTGTAATGATCTAGCAAAATTTTTGGCCTTTTCTACTATAATCTCATCGGATAGTATTACTCTCTCTTGGTATTGTAGGATCCATTCATATAATGAATTTTCAAGTGCTGGATATTGAACTGTTTTCTGTCTTTTTTCTGAGGGATTTTCTTCAATTTCATCCTTATTTTTTAATGGTACTTTGATGAACTTTAAGATCCATTGTTTATTTTACCCAATCGACAAGATCAGCTTGACTAATTTGAGGATTTTTTTCTTTATGCTTTTCTTTGTTCATTTGTGAGGGCAGTTTTAGTTTCTTTAGGTTTTTTGGAGGACATTCTGATTATTGTAATATAATAGGTCCGAAGGGTAAGTTTAATTTAGCTAATAGCGTTGAAGAGCTGTGATGTTTTGACGTCTTGTGAAGGCCAATGTAAATCAGGCAGGTACTTTCTTTCTGATTTTATAGTTTGACTAACTTCTTATCTAATATCTTTTAAATGAATCAATGGATTATTTGTAACAATGCGATGAGGCTATTGCATTATTATGTGATGTACAAAAATATTTATAACAAAGATATTCTTTGTAATTTGCATATGTATTAAATATCATCGCGGCTGAAGCTGGAAATTGCTGAAGATGGAAATTGCTGAAGATGGAAATCGGGGACCTCTATTTAAAATATTAACCTTACCAAAATCCATTTATACTCTTATTTTAGACTCATAAACTCAACCTGACTATAAAGAAAAAATTCCCAAAAAATGCACAAACCATTTAAAAATTTCACATTAAATAAGCACAGTTTCTAGCTTTAGCTGCGATCATGTGAGATCTAATTTAAATGATAATATGAGTGCGCCCAAGAAAAAACCTGCCATCGGACATTCAATTATATTTCGTGTACAGTTAGCCATCTGTAGAAAATCTATTATAATGATAGATTTTCCATAGACGGCTAACTGTACACGAAATATAATTGAATGTCCGATGAAAGGTTTTCCCTTGGGCGCACTCATATGATCTTTATTCTTGAAGTATCAATTTGAAGGCACAGTATATATATGTTACTTTTTATTGTATACAGTATATTTAACTCCTTTTTAAATGCATTCTCAAAATACTAATTTTGATACATATTGA